TGCATGAATCATTCAGCCATGTGCTTACAGGTGTGCAGGTTGAACTTACAGGTGTGCAGATTGAACTTACAGGTGTGCAGGTTGAACTTACAGGTGTGCAGATTGAACTTACAGGTGTGCAGGTTGAACTTACAGGTGTGCAGGTTGAATTTACAGGTGTGCAGATTGAACTTACAGGTGTGCAGGTTGAATTTACAGGTGTGCAGATTGAACTTACAGGTGTGCAGGTTGAACTTACAGGTGTGCAGGTTGAACTTACAGGTGTGCAGATTGAACTTACATGTGTGCAGATTGAACTTACAGGTGTGCAGATTGAACTTACATGTGTGCAGATTGAACTTACAGGTGTGCAGATTGAACTTACATGTGTGCAGATTGAACTTACATGTGTGCAAATTGAACTTACAGGTGTGCAGGTTGAATTTACAGGTGTGCAGGTTGAATTTACAGGTGTGCAGGTATAACACCCACTAGCCTCATAAACTATTAGACACCAGTTTAATATTAGGCTCAAGATATTTAAGTAACTTTGATATCTATTGCATAGTCTTAGCATCATGTTATTAAAAGTATTTGAGTGTTTGGAAGCTTTGTGTGTGCCTTTTATGTTTTGGGGCCTGACGCTTGTCCATTTTTCTCATTTTTGTTCACACACTGCACACCGTGCTGTCATGGCTGTCTGGTCAGGTGCAAGAACTGGACTGAAAATGAGTGAAAAAGCAGACAAACACCAAAGAAAATCTAAAAACGTATTGAGGAAGAACATTTCAAGAAGACAATGACAAGAAAGTCTGATTCTTTTAAAGCAAAGAATAAAAATTGGGGTGCTGTTGGTACAATACTGCAGTGTGAGTGCACAGGGGTTTAGTACTTTGTGCTGTACATTATGTTGATGATAGTTGATGCGAAGGTGACAGACTGTGTGTCCCTGTAGGACACTGGACGTGACCCTGGACCTGAAGGACCCACAGTATCCTGAACAGAACCTGGGCACCCTGGACCTTGCTGTCACCCTGTCGCCAAAAGAGGGAGACGTGAAAGATGCTGTAAGAAGTTTACTCAAAATGACTCTGATCCGTGTGTTCCTCTTTTATATTTCCTCATGAGCAGAGGTCCTCATGTTCTCTGGAGTTGTGTATTTCCCTGTTCCTGCTCTAAATGATCACCTGCTTAGTAATCAACCAAACAAAACTGAATATTTAAATAAGGTTTAAATAGGTTGTATGTTAATCAAATTCAGCTGCAGTGATTTTAGCTGTTAAATTGCCTTGCCACACATCAGAGGAACACATAAGCAGTGTTGAAGTGGAATGTGCTGGCTCTGTTCAGCCTCTGTTGTTGGAAACTGTACAAGTCAGCAAATACAAATGCACAAACACAAGTTTAATTATGTTGCGCGGAGAAGTAACGTGTTCAAAGAGCAACTGATCTTCATTCCTAATTATGTTGCTTTGTGCCTCTGTGAGCACCCTCGATGTTTGAAAGTTGCATTTATTTCTGTTCAATTATTTGTTTGGCTAATTGGACTCCTGCATGTTGTACTCAGAACATGGCAGAGCCATGAGGGACATATTTTATTCCTTTTGATCTGATGACTTAATTCTGCTGCGTTTTTAGCTCAGAGTCCACGTTTGACAGAACAAATAAACTTTATTTGGGTTAAGCATCATTTTGGATTTCTCTTACTGTGAGGAGAACAAGCACAAGGTTAAACAGGAACTTCCTCTCTGCTGCCATCTAGTGGTAGGGAAGAGAAACGAGTAGATTTGATTAACAGAATTTTTGGGAGTTTTTTTTTTTTTTTTGTTGTTGATTTTTGTTTTGAAATATTTCAAACAATGTTGGAGTTTTGTAAATTTGTCTATTACAGGAAAGAGTAAAATCTTCAATTGCTCATCATTTTTTAATAGCTTTGCTGTAATAAAACTAGATTTCCTGTGTTTTTTAAAGGTGATACTTTACAATTCACCAAGCTTTCTTATTTTTTATGACTTTGGCTGCTTTATGTTTAGTTCAGTTTAATTCTTGTACTGACCTAATTTTCAATATGTTGAAAAAAAAGGCAGCTGGTCCTAACAAATACTGAGTTGCAAACTTGTTAGAATCTTACAAATTCAGTTCTATTTTCATATTTTTAGTTTTAACGTATTTATTTGCACACTAAAATAAATAAACCAATAAAGCAAAATTGTAAAAATCAGAAATTTATCATTTGTGCTTTTCATGTTTCGAATTAAGAATAATTCAAATTTTATCAAATAAAAAATGGTTATACATTAAGAAAAGCACTTGATTTGCTTAGTCTCTATGTTTACATGTATATGTGTCTGTGCATGTGTGGTTATAGAACAAATCACAACACCTTATGATGTGCCCGAGTGCTGACACACTCCCTGCTGAGTTAACTTGCATGATGCCACACTTACCTCATCTAACTCCCACTCCCCTCACCAGCACTGGAGCTTATTAGCTGAACTTCATACACAGCCTGACCTTTAACCCTCTGGCCCTTCAGCTTTGAGAGGCGACAGTAGGAGGCGCTCTGTAACCGCTTTGTCTCATCCGCAGACCATGCTTTTGGGGAGAAACTGGAAACGATCCAGTAAGGTAAACTAAAACAGCATGTGACCCATCAAAGTTCCGACTCTGCTGTAACTCCACATGCCGACCTCACCTATCCTTCCTCACTGGTGTCCTGGTACATGGATGGAGTCTCGCCTGGCCCCTATCCCTCCCATGTTCCTTTACTTCCTGCATTCTGTTTTCTTCAGTTTTCATTGTTACCATCTTATTCTCCGCAAGCTGGTATTTGCACGAGCAGAGGGCATG